CAACAAAGAAACTAATAGGTCCATTCATTGTGCGGGATGCACTTGCATTAACTTCGGAGCAATGCTTTTTACAATGCACCCAATCCAGAAATGGACGTATTTCTGTCAAACGGAACTATGTGCATTATGACGTGAGCTCTGTCATACACATATTCTTATGGGTCTAAGGGCTCATGACTTAATGTACGTAGCTCCGTTTGGCAGAAATGTGTCCTAGTAATGACCGTTCATTTGAATTGTCTTATCTAGATTTGACGCAGATAAAGTAGAAACAATGAATTTGCTCGGAAAAAAACCTGAAAAGCTTTTGAGCTGTCAGGCACATACCGCCTAAGAGACCGAGCAGCCTGTGTCAGGAATAGAGTCTATTACTGACTTGCCATTTGAATCGGTCAGTTGCAAAAGGGCTCAAGCACCAGTTTGCAAGCACGAAAAAAATAGTAGAAACTGTATGAACCAACCCGTTTTAAATTGCAGATTAATTGATAATGCAATTAATTAATTCATTGCTTCAATACTTTAGAGATCTAAGATTTATAAAGGGTCAATAAAACAGTTATTACCGTTTTTCTCGAATTCTTCTTTGGCGCTTAAGGATTCATTTGTCCTCAATGAAGAAGTTTAATTTCTCTGATTAGAAAAAATACTTAATGTGAGAAACAAAATGTATTTCACGGAAGAAATAGCTCCTGAAGTCCTGAGGTACTTTAAATGCATTTTTACTTAACTAAAAAGAAAAAATTGAGCCGAAAGATTTATCTTTGAGAAGAAGAAAAAGAGATATTAATAATTTCAAGTAAAATTAGTCTCAGTGCATATTCTGTGAAAAATTCACTCCCAAATTCCAATTTTTAAGCATCAAAAAGTCTGTTTGAACTTTCTTTCCGCCATAAGGATTTATGTAATTTCGAAATTACAAACACGTATTTCTCGGAATAGCAAAAACTACTCTTCTGCGCCTTGTTCTCCAAGCCCCTCAAATGTACGTAATGTTCGTGTGTCGCCTCGTCAAAGGGCAGTTTTTCGAGCATTAGCTGGAAATCTGTCCTCACCCCGCGTAACATTACTAACTCGAACCATTCTGGGAAGAATATCAGGTTATTGTACTTCACTGATAAAAATGCTCCTCCAAAAGGTCAACGTATCGTAATCTTACACCGCCCGCTCGGCTCGGCGCTCGGCCACGGAAAACCATTAACAAAATGATGGAACGAAAATGAGCGGCGGGCGCCGCGCCGCACAGTGGGTCGAGTCAATTAGAGAGTTCAGACATTAATATTTTCTACTAAAACTGCAAATTTTGATGTTTATTTTGTCAAATTTGAAATCTCAAGGGGTATAGAGTGTCCACAAGTCCGGAAATAGTACCGATTTTCCGAAGGCGGTCCGGAAGTACTGAAAAAGTGCGGAAATTTCGTTAGGAAGTCCGGTTACGGAATTATTTTCATTTTTGTCGCAATTTGAGCGGGAAATTCAAATTTTTGAAATTTTTCGAATTGCATCAGTTGAAGGTGCTGAAAAAGTACTGAATTTTTCTATTGAGGAGGTACTAAACTTCTAGGGAATGTGCTGAAAAAGTACTGTAATAGCACTGATTTTTGTTCAGCCTGTTTTAGTAGACACCCTGGGCTACTTACAGCAGAAAATTTCACGAGGAAACGAACAGAATCAATTCCAGAGCCTCAAAGTTTTGTATAATTGGAGTTTAAAAGCTATGAAAGTTTCTACATATTGTCCGACCTCTCCTATCGACTCGATCCGCTGTGCGCCGCGAGCAGTGGGCTCGAAAAACTTATCTCCTCCGAAAAAAAGGCCAATGTTACGGGTCATTATCGTTGTGTTATCTTGTTCCGTTCTTCGTCGTCGTCAGACTTGCCGCCGTCTTCCGTGGGCGCTTACTTGAGATTCACTTTCTTCCCTGCGGAGACATTTTTCCGTCGTCGCGATTCCTCGAGAGTCGCCGAAGTTGTCTTCGCCATAAGTTTTATGACCTTGACCAGCCGCTCTGTCTGAGTTCCCTTTTTCGGAACTGATCGGTTTTTCCACTGCTCCCCCGCTGTCGTTTTCCAGTGGTGTTGCGTGCTTTGCGATATATCGATCGATCTGCCGTTTAAACCCATGGAAAAGGATCGATTGACAGGGTGTTCGCAACCAACACCTTGATAATCGATTCTTTACTATAGCTTCAAATGGAGAAGTGTCGATAATCGATCAGCAACTTCGCTCATCAGGCCATCAACCAGCGAACCAGTGCAACGCCGGGTCTTAATGCAGTCTGCACTCGATATGGGGCCGTCTGTAATTCCGCAGGCACTCGCAACCGAGGGAGTCTTGAAGTGCCTGACCAACGAAGAGAGAGAGAGAGAGAAAGGGGGGGGGGGGCAGACTCAACAACTTGGCTGATGATAAACTGAAAATCCTCTGTAGTCCGAGCAATGGTTAAATGAAAAAACTGCTGCAAAAAGACCCAAAAAAATTCAATTTTATTGCTGGTTTTCGTAGGATTTTTTTCATCAAAAATTTTGAGCTGTTGCTATGGTGCAAAAATTGCCCGGCCTCCAGATCCGGAAATCGTTGTTAACGTGACGCAATTTCCGAAAATGCCGTTATTTTCGTCATTTTTGCTCATATTTACAAAAAAAAGTGTGCAAATCAGTTTTTTCGCCCTCAATAAAATGGGGCATTTTTCCGTGAGGTGTACTGAAATGTTCGAAAAAGTGGGGTCAGTCGCAAATTTTGTTGTTCAGTTGTACAGTTTACTACAAAATTGAACATTTTTCCGTGAGGCAATGAAATGATGCCTTAAGGCAAAATAGCCAAAAAAGTGGGGCCACAGTGCTTGCCAAAAAGATTGAATATGTTTTCCTGAGGTAAATCGGGAATCAGACTCGCCAAATCGAGTGATATGGTTGGCTCTGAAGAAGTAGGACCCTCCATTACCCTGTTGAGGGGGTGAGGGTAAAGCTAAAGGGTCCTGGCCGTAACGTGAAGTAGGGATACAAGGTAACGGTTTTTTGGCCGTACGGTATTTTGTTACCAACTTAAACTCGATTATGTTGATGCAAGCTGATGCGGGCAAATTGCGTCGAAGTTCCCTTTCCGCAAAATTTGTTTCAACTCGGGAGAGTGTAGTTACGCATCGGCGACCCGTCGTCAGGACAATACACCATCGCTCTCATTAAATTTCGCTCGTCGGCGCCGCGAAGCCGTTGAACTCCGATGGGAAAGTCGGCAAGTTTTCCCTGTCCCCGCGCGTCAAATCAATAAATCTATTTTCGGGCGCCATTCGTATTCATGAAAAAGCTCCCGAAATACACCGCGACTCCTCTAATTTTACGTTTTCTTCCCGTTCGAGCGTCCCATCCCGCGCGCGGGAGGGTGCAAGGCGACGTCGACGTCGCAACAACAACGCAGCGACTGCGACGCGGGGCGCTGTGCAACGGTCCCTGTTTTGTCCCCTGTCGCGACGCCATCAAGCGTTTAAACCCCCCAACCCTCCCCCCGGCCCCCGCCGGCCGGGAAAAATCAGGTCAGGCGATGATTGATATTATTTTCCCGGTCGTCGTCCGCGCTGCCGTGCTAAGGGAGAACGCCGTATGAACATTCGAGGGTTGCCAAATTTCCTCCGATAAAATGTTTATTTTTGAAGAAAATTGTGATTATTTTTCCTTGAAATTTTTAGACGTTTTAGATCTAATTACGAACAAAATTATCTGAGAAATTGGTAGACAAACATTCAAAAGTTTCTCTGAAAATTGGTGATTTTTCAGGGGAAATTTGGCAACGCCTGAAGGCTCATACGGCGTTTTTCCTTAGCGGGTGCGGGTATCCCTGTCGTTTCCGCAGGATGATCCCTTTTTCGTTTCGCGGCGGAAACACGGCCACCGTGCGAGGCCCGGAAGTTTAACCTGTGGCTGTTCGTTGACCCCGTGTGTGCCGGAGATAATTTTTTTCGCGCGGTCATTATAGGTCGGGCCCGCGGTTCGAACCCTGGCAAGGGGTGCGGGCCGGTGTCCGAGTGTCTCCGTTGACATCCGTTCCCGGGAGTGAAAGGAAAGCAATTATCCTTGTCCGCAAGCTTTACGGTTAGGGTGACTGTGCCAAACTTCCAGTCTCTCGGATCATCTCTGGTGTGTCTACTTTCTTCTTATGATTGACAATCGGTTTTTGAGATTTGAACACGGACTTTAACGTTTAAGCAAAAAAAAAAAAAAAAAAAAAAAAAATGTTAGAATACGGAGTTCCGAACAAAGACATATGTTTGGGCAGGGGTGCAGAATATTCCAAGTTTCTAAATTTTCACGCGCCCGCCCACCGCCCGTTTTCCACATTTTCTCATCAAACCTCATGATTTTCCATCACTATAAAGTATGATGGTTTGGATCGCATTCAGAAAGAAGGAAACAGCGCGATTACAGTGTTTTCAAAACTGAGCAACTTTTTCTTTTTTTTAAAAAAATACTCAATTTATGCACAGCAGTCAAATTTACACAATTATTTTTCTTTAAAACTAACAATTTTTTGATGGGAAGAAGAACTATTTGCTATCCCGGGACATTTCTTATTGTTAGAAAGGGTCTCTAGCATCAGGTTTTCCTGATGCTACCAGGATTTGAGGTCAATCAGAATCTAATCCCGATTTCATCAGGATTTGAGGAAAAATCGATCGTAAAATCAGGAATTGAGATTAGTCGTTCGTCCGATCGGATTTTTTTGTGAAGTTACATTCACCTTGCGTGAAGTCAGGATTTGATCAGAATTTGGAAAAATCATGAAATCAGGATTTAGCAGTCAAAAATCAGGATTTCCCAAAACGAAAAAACTAGACACCCTGTATGAAGAAGCAACATTTTTCCAACACCGTATTCACGTCGGTCCCTTTTTGCTAAATGCGATCCGTTTTTTCCTCCTTTTTTTCTTTGGCGTACTATCTAGAATCTATCTTCGTGGCTAGTGCGTGCATAATGAAGTAACGCCAGACTTTTTTCGATTGGTTTCAGATGACCGCCAACGGCGTCTGAGAAGAGGGAACGGAGAAGGAGTCTGTGTAATCAGAGCCGGAGAGGAACCACACACATCTAGTTGAGGTAAGTTTTTTCTCTTTTTTTTTTCTCTTTGAGGGAAGTTCATCTTGCGCTATTACCCATGCGCGTAAAACGCGGATGAGAGACCTTTCGAGACCTTGATTTTGTTCATTTTATATCATGGTAGAGTTTCATTGGGCGGCCTTGCAAAAAGCCAATATGCGCGACCCGTTAATACGTTTCTCAATTCTTTGGCAGTGAGACGACTGAGTTGCTATACAGTCAAGGATTTACCGGTGAATCATAGGTTTTGTCATCTCTCTGTACCGCGGAGGATTGAGTGGAATACTTCGGTGTTTCTTTACTTCTTACGTCGTTGTATTGCCATTTTCAGCCTCCACGCTGCGGAGGGGAGAAACACGCTTCTCGTGTTGATCCTGATCTTTGTATCTCGTCAATTTTACTGTTTCTTAACATTTTTTTCTTTCTTTCCTTTTTTAAAAGGCGAAAGAAATTTTTATGTTCAGGGTGTCTACAAGTCCGGAATTTCCGGAAAGTTCGGAGATATTACTGATTTTTTAAGGGCGGTCCGGAAGCACTGAAAAAGTGCGGAAATTCCGGTAAAAGGTCCGGAATTTTTTCTCAATTTTTTGTCATTTTTGTCGCAATTTTAAATTTTTTGAAATTTTTCTAATTTCGTGAAATGGAGGTGCTGAAAAAGTCCGGAATTTTTCTGTTTGAGGAGGTACTGAATTTCTCGAGAATGTACTGAAAAAGTACTTATTTTTGATCAGCCTGTTTGAGTAGACACCCTGATGCTGTGAAAAAAAAGTTACAGGCTGTATAGACATAAAGTCCGATCCGGGCTCAAAGGCCGAAGGTTACGGGTGGTGGAGCCGTAGTTTCGATTGCTCCGGGTGCTACGACCGGAACTCCCTGAACGCGGACGGTATGTCTGTATAGCCCGTAAGTACGGCTTCAACGACCGGAATTTTTTTTCAGTGTGGAAATGAAGAAAAATACTGCCGCCTTGTAAACATATTCTGAAACATGGTGTGTACCCAGAATAAAAATTGAAATTATGCATTAAGGTAGAAAATCATTTTCATCAACGTAAACGCATTTAAATCTGTCGCTGGAAACTCTGATAAGCGCCGAAACAAGAACTTGTTTGTGGGGGAGGGTACAGAAAGAGACCTCGCTAAGGGGAGTACGGGACATTCTCCCAACTCCGAGGGGGCCTGAGGAGGCATCCTTGGGAAAATTCTGAAAATTGAGCTGTGTCAGCAGCAATTATGAGTTTTCCTCACCGTGATCTATTTAAGGAAAATTTCAAAGGCGATAGAAATGTCACGTAGTTATTTCGCAAAATTCCTCACATACTCTGAAGAGACCGAACAGAATTCGGAGGAGAGGCAACTGCAGACTCCACCCCTCTAGTTCCGTCCGCAATCCTGATCTCGGTTTTTTATTGTTCATTATCAGTACTGCACAGATTAGAAGCCGGAAAAAGTGGCGAGCGAATTTCGCGGAAAAGCCACGCTTTTAATAGTCTTATGTTTCCTTTCTCCCGGTGATTCATTATGGAACGTGTTTTCCTCCCTCGAATTACTTTCTTCCATTACCAACCTTAACGTGTCGCTCGAGTCGACTCCACCCTCGGATGAAGGAGTAAATCCGATTGAAAACAAAATACCGCTTTTACCTCACTAATTTGTGCAGCGACCTCTTTGTTGAGTTGTTGACCTTTAAGATAAATTGTGTCATATCCTATGAAAAAAAAAAAATAATAATTTGCTTGAGCCTTTTTCTGAAGGAACTATTCTTTCATTTTGATCGAACCAAAGTTTTAACAGACTCATTGAATCCTGCAACTTACGTGTAGTCACCCGTCTCCTTTGAAAACCTGAGTCGCCAGTGCAAATCTTATGTATCCTCTTATTGCATCCTCTGTGCGCTACCCTCTCACGATTGTATAGATCAGAGTATTCCAGGAGTGATGTGTTAAAAATGTGAACGACCATTCTTCGTGACCCCATAACCGAAAATTTGTCATAAAATGGAATTTATATGGTCATAAAAATAGTCCGGTAGGCCAGGTTAGGTCATAAAGAAGAAGGCTATTTTGGCGTTGGGTCAGATTAGGTTAAGATAGTTTTCTAATCCAGTATTAGACTCTGGATTATCCGGCTTCGTATTATCCGGACTCTGGATTATCCGGATCGATTTTGTAACCATGTAACTTACGCATTCCGATAAGTGAGCGGATCTGCGGAGAAGCGGTCGCAAGGCATATTGGCGCCTGCAAGGCTGAAGGAATACTTCACGCATTGCGCCAAACAGTGAGGTCGGCGTGGAACACATTAGCGCCTACTAGATTGCATAAATACTTCTCGCATTACGCCAAACGCAGTGCAGTCGGTTAGTTAGCCTAAAACGCACATTAGCGGCTACAAGACTGCATAAATACTTCACGCATTGCGCGCTTTAATCGTTGTATTGTAATTTATCGTTGTCGGCTACCATTCACAATCACTATTGAGTCGTTCAGTTTGGCGTTAACCTTTTAAATTCGTGTTTTTATGTACATGATGTATACATAATAAGAATACTGTGGTGTTGGTTGGTGGTGTTTGTGTTTACTATTATTATTCGGATTTCTTTTTCATCCGGATCGGGCCCGGCACCAATTAATCCAGATAATCTAGAGTCTACGGTAACACACAAAATCGATTGTCCCAAAACTATTGTCGTACAGGATTGTGTGCATGGGTTTGCGTTTTTCTATCAGAGTCTTTCGAGGAAAGTAGACTTTAGTCAGGAAGTATTAGGAACTGTATCGTGAAAGTTCTCACTCAGATCCCCACTCATCTTATCAGATTCGAGACTTTCACCGAAATACTGCGAGTGTGAAGTTGGTTGAAAAGAGGGATCGTGTGAATCGGAATTGGGAACGATACGCGGGGAACACTTGCATGCCGTAGCATGATATACTAGATTGATCTCGTTCGCAATTACACAAATAAATCTTCTCCTTGATGTAGAGGTGCTCGTTCGCGCACATGCGATTGGATCCTAACCGCGAGAAGGCAATCCCGACGCTGTTCCACGGGTCCGACCTTCCGTCTGTGGTCACCCATGCTCGCTAACCTCTTTTGCATCCGTCAAAGTCTTCCGAAGAAAATCTATTTTCAAATGGTTTTGCTCTGCAGGAACTATGTATACCACCTCGAGGTAATACCATCACAAAGATGAATTTTTTTTTTTTTTTTTTACTTAGTTTGAACGATTTTAAAATATCAAGAAAGTACGCGGTATGCCTTTAACTTTCGCATTTTTTTACCCATTATTTCAACCATCCTGGAACGCGTAGAGGAGCGCTGAGCGGGTCCATGATGGCCCGGGTCGAGGATCAATATTTCCCAGGAAAGTCGATTCCCAGAACGGGATAGGTCCCGGGAGCTCGTAAAGAACGATCACAGGAATGTTACCAGGAACTTCCCGATGACTCCCAGAAGTGTGAGTGATTACCGCGAATATGTGCATTTGCGTGTATTTCTCTGTTAAAGTTTCCCGAGAAAATATATTTCCACTTTGAGAATCCACGGGAAATTTTCCGGGAATGGGAAAGTTCCCAGGTTCTTCAGTGGTGATTTTGCATGTTGGCGACGCTGTTTCTCCCCAATTTAAAGCCATTAAAAATATCGTTTCCGGTGAAGCAAGCTGCCTCACCAAGAATCGATTGTTTTACATACATTTAAATGGAGGCCAAGCAGAGTTGCCTTCTTTGCAAGTCTGTCTATATCCCAAGTGAGACAGAGAGTTTTACCCTGAGCGTTGATTTAAAATTCTCACCGGATCATCATCGGTCAAGTCGTTCATTTTTAAACTTTCCATGGGACACTGGAAAAAAAACACATTGGATCTAGAGTTCAGACTCTTGAAAATATTGACAAGAAAAAATACTCTTGATTCAATCAGATTTAAGCTTCAATCAAGAGGAAATCCGCTCAAATTAAGAGGCTTGGCTCTTGATGTAGCCAAAAATCCGATTGAATCAAGAGTATTTTTTCTTGTCGATGTTTTTAAGAGTCTGGACTCTAGATACAATGTGTTTTTTCTTCCAAAGGATGATATGGCATCAACGGTTAAAACACAGCTCCTCCTAAGTCAACAGCTCTCCTGCCAGATTTTCCCTTGCCGTCAAAAAGTGATACCTATTTTTATCGAATTGGTGAAAGAAAGACGTCTCTGCAGGCTGCAAGATACGGCAACTCGGAGCGGTTTATACGGTGGATTCATGAACACCCTTTTCGTGCACCGTTCCATTCGGGTTCGGTAAAGAGTCCGAGTGTAAGAGTTTGTAAACTTTACCTTCTCTTTCCTCGTTTTTCTTTTCGGGGAGCCCAGCGAGATCGTGAGACTATACACCGTCCTACGAGACGGGAGGTGCGGAAACTCTTCTTCGAGGATGCTCGAAACCCGACGGTTTACTAAGCGATATTGTAAATAGTACTGCCGTGCGCCGCGCTAAGGATGAACGCCGTAAAAGCCCTCAGGCGTTGCCGAACTTCCTCTGACAAATCACAATTTCCGTGAAAATTTGAACGTATTTCCCTCTCAAATTTTTAGAGAATTTTGTTCGTAAATTGATCGAAAATGCCTGAAAATTTCAGCGGAAAATATGTGTAACTTTCTTCTAAAATGAGTGTTTTCTGAGAGTAAATCTTGCAACATTTGAATGCGCTTACGACGTTTTTCCATAGCGCGGTAGAATTGTGTAGAGCATGGGCTGATCCTCCCTTCAGATGAATCGACGACCTTTTCTTGATGGTGTTTGTGTTTAGTGGTTGTATAGAGCTCCGTAAGAGTGAAACTTCTCAATAGTTAATACAATATTAGTAAAGGTGTCTATAGGACCTGAAAAAACCGAGAATTGCTGAGATTTATCCAGTAATCAAAAATATCCGGGAAAGTCAGGGATACTGTTGGGGATTTGGCGCTTAAATTTGGTAAATTCTCTTCTCTGTACTTCAAGATCAAATCATTTTTAAAGCATCTGT